TCAGGATTGCTAAATAACTTTGATAAATGAATTGTATTGATTTTTGTGAAAAAATGTTAGTGCCAAGCTAGCGTCTTTTGGCGTCAGCTTCGAAAACTCCCATATCCGTGATTGGGACCCTGAATAATCCCTATAGGCGATGGTTTATAGATCGTGAAAGGGCTACCATCAAAAAGGGATCATCGCTAATCGCTCGCTAACAAAATACTGACCAGAATAGTATGTCTGTAACTGGCGACGTACTGCCTTCGCATCGCCTCTCGTTTGGCGAATATGTCCTTTCGCATTTCTTCCGAGTTCGGTAAGGTTGATTCGCCGGAGAGCACAGAAAAGAACAGTCGTGCTTGCATTTCAGCGATTGGCATGATCGATCCCAATGCCTAAATAGACCAGCGCTCGATTCACTTCTTGAAAATTGAAAAAAAAACTACTGAAGGCCGACTTCAAGCATCTACAAGCTTGAGCATAGCGTCTCGTATGCATGCCCCGCCCCTAAGCGGATAACTCCACCCACATGAATACAATTGATATAGCCGCAATCAGCCGGGGCGGTGTCAAGTGGGATGGAATGAAGACGGTTTTTTCCACCGCTAGTTGTCCTCTTCTTGAAAATTGATCACTATCCGATCGTCATTGATGGAAAAGGGAGCTAGAGGTAGGATTATCCCGCCCCTTCTGACACTGCCCGACAGATTGCGATGACAATTGCATCGCAACCTATATATGTGTACATAACGACGGTAGTATTGGGAAGCGTGTCTTGAGCAATCCGAGACTGGTACAAAACTTGGCACAGTTCGGCATGGTAGGGGCACTACATGTCACACAGTGAAGCTTGTGAATACTCCCTGTGAAAACATGTAAAGTTTTGTGAGCAGAGCAGCTCTCCTGCACCCAGTCCGCAGTTTCACAAGTTTTTACAGCCGTAGCCAAGGTAAAACCGGTGAGCTGATAAGAACTGACAAAAGTAACCAACTCCTTCCCCCTCCCCTCCCCAAACTACGCCCAAATCTTTTATCC